CCAAGGGAAAGAAGGCCATTTACATCTACCACAACCCTCATTTTCAGATGATTTCTAAGAAAAAGTGAAAGGGAATCCTATAAACGTGATGCATATTTCCAAGCCAGGTAGTTCAGGAAATATGAATATTGATGAAAAATTGCTTCACCTTCTCCGTGAGGCTACCCTAAGCCACCCTAAGTAACACCATTTATTTTGCCTTTAATCATGAGTCTCAGCTCTTACAAGCAAAGCAGCTTGGCTTTCCATCAGTGCAAGCTCATTTAGAGAATTCACCTCTGCTGTGGCGTATTAAATAGAAATCATCATTTAAGTAATTTAATAGGAAAGAAATGGGAAAGATGGAATTTGCCATTTTATTTAGGTCTCCTAATTTCATGTTAATGTGGCAATGTTCTAGAATGCCTCATCTGTACTACTCACATGGACCTGCTATCAACAATAAGGGTAACCATCCCAATTGCAAAACAGGAGACCGTCTGGATTTAATGCAATCTTCACTTTACATCCCTCTGAAATAATCAAAAGCAGTAACAGCCACATCGCAGACCAGTTTGTTCAATTTCCACTGCGAAGGTTTAAAGTGCTTTAGTATTAATAGAACAAAATAGAGAAGGTCCAGATGAGGAGTGTGACACCAGAATAGAAAAATTCACATAGAATTTTATGAAGAATGTCTGAAACAGAACAGTGTCAATCATTATTAAATTACCCAACAATTGTTTGAGCTGCTCAGTGTTGATTAGAAGAGTCTTGAAAGTTTCCACGTTCCATTATGTTATTTTAATGTTTCAAATCCCCCCAAAATGAACAACATATTTTCTTCTGTACATTTTTAACACAGACATGCATTACACATAAAAAATACTTTAAAATAAATTTCTCAGTCTTGGAACCTAAATCCCCATCCCCCAGTGAATTTTTTATAGGTAGGAGCTTGAACTCTCAATACGGCAACTATTCTTTCCACGGAAAATATCTCTAAATTTGCTCATTTGAAAATTTATCAGCTTTCATTAAAAAAAATAAAGGCAGATGGACAGATATCATAAATACTAAATAGCAAAAAGATTTCTGTTAAGGAGTACAGAGAGCTAAAATTACACTTGCAATAAAGAGGATGGCTCAACGCTAATTATGGGCAATAATCACTTTACATCTGCTTGTTGAATTAGCACAAGATTTTTAGACATTTGGAATGAAACCACATATACACAAAGTCCTATAACAAGTGGCTCTGTAAAAATAAAAAAAAAATCCACACTGCTGCAGCTCCATCTAATGTATAATTAATATAAATATGCTGAAGCCAGCAGGTAAAATACTATAATAGCTAGCTATGAGTAGCAGTGAATATTCAGGAAAGAGGGTTGTCATGGAAAACCCAATTACTTATGTACTTCAGCCATTAATGACTTTATTAAATTTGCAGCACGAGTCAAAAAGTGTGGCTGCCCAAGCTGGGCAGACACACTTGTCCTCGCCCTTCTAGAACCTATACCGTAAAAGAGAAAAAAGCTACAAGAAACACATCACTCCCTCTGCTTCCTCCTTCCCTCCCGTACCCCTCCTAAGGTGTGAACCCATGCCACCATCCACCAGATGGGCTTGATAATTAAGGGAGTGTGGGGGGTTGACCTTGCCCGGCTGCCAGACGCCCACCCAGCTGCTCTCTCCCTCCCTCTCCTCAGCAGGACAGGGGGAGGAAATAAGACTGAAAAGCTCTTGGGTCCAGGTAAGGACAGGGAGATTATTCACCAATTACCATTACAGGTAAAACAGACTCAACTTGGGGAAGATTAATGTAATTTACTGTGAATCAAAAATAGGGTATTACTAAGACAGGATAGTGAGAAACAAAAACAAAATTAAGAACACCTTCTCCCCAACCCCCTCTTCTTCCTAGACTCAACTCCACTCTTTCATTGGTGACTCTCCTGCCACCTCCTCCCCTCCACCGGTGCTGCAGGGGGATGGGGAACTGGGGTCGGGGCCGGCTGATAACACTTTGTCTCTGCCGCTCCTTCCTCCTCACGCTGTTCCCCTGCTCCATGTATTGGGTCTCTGTGGCAAGGTTTTGGTAGTGGGGCAGCTACGGGGGTGGCTTCTGTGAGAAGCTGCTGGAAGCTTCCCCCATGTCTGACAGAGCCGATGCCAGCCGGCTCCGAGACGGCCCCACCGCTGGCCAAGGCTGAGCCCACCAGTGACGGTGGTAGTGCCTCTGGGAGAACAGAGTTAAGAAGGGAAAAAAAGCTGCTGCACAACAGAAACTGCAGCCAGAGAGAGGAGTGAGAAGATGTGAGAGAAACAGCCCCGCAGACCCCCAGGTCAGTGCAGAAGGAGGGGGAGGAGGTGCTCCAGGCGCCGGAGCAGACTGGGAAGGACCCACGTTGGGGAAATTCATGAAGGACTGTCTCCTGGGGGGGGACCCCACGTTGGAGCAGGGGACGAGTGAGGAGTCCTCCCCCTGAGGAGGAAGGAGCGGAAGAGACAAGGGGTGAGGAACCGACCCCAACCCCCATTCCCTGTCCCCTTGTGCCACTGACGGGGACGAGGTAGAGAATTTGGGAGTGAAGTTAAGCCTGGGTAGAAGGGAGTAGTGGGGAGAAGATGTTTTAAGATTTGGTTTTATTTCTCCTTACCCTACTGTGGTTGACTGGTAACAAATTAAGTTACTTTTCCCCAAGTTGAGTCTGGTTTTGCCTGTGATGGTAATTGGTGAGTGATCTCTCCCTGTCCCTATCTCAACTCATGAGCCTTTCGTTGTATTTTCTCTCCCCTGTCCAGCTGAGGGGGGCAGTGTCCAGCCAGGGTCAACCCACCACACTCCAGCATGGAGCCCCTCTCAGAGGACACAGTCCTTCACGAGCTGCTCCAATGTGAGTCCTTCCCACAAGGCTGCACTTCTTCAAGAAGTAAGCTTCAGCTTACTCTCTTCCAGTGTTTTAATACTGCCTAGTCCTCAGATAAACACAAGAGTACTACATCACATTTTCTGAGCTGCATGACTTTTGGATTAGATGTTTCGTTCATGATGCTCTACTAGTCAAATCCCACCTGCCCTAAAAGATCAACCCCACGTGAGCTGTGAGGTAACTGTGTACTCATTGTATGTCCACATGCCACAGGATACCTCAAGAGGCAGAGAGAAAATATAGAAGGAACCTAGAGACAAAAGGATTTTTGCCACATTATGAATGAATTTTCTAGATCTAGATCCAAAAGAGAAAAAAAGACCCTTTCATGGGCTGGGCAAGGAGCGTTACAAGTTCTTGGCAGAGTAGTGCGTTTGAGACACACATTTATGACAGAATCATTCAGGCCAGTGAACGTGAGGATAACTGCAGGTAGACCCAACTGTCTTGCTAGTTGTGTTTGGTTGAGGGCTGCCCAGAGCAGCCAGTGATGTCAGCAGGAATCTAGATGAGCTGAGGAAATGAGAGGGGCTAGCAAGGCTAAAACTGTTACGAGAGAGCACAAAAACTGACCCACAAAAACCTCCAGACCAGCATAAACTGTCGATATTGACTCACATCCTTTTCCAATGTGAGGCTGGGAAACTCTTGTCAACCACTGTATTCTCCAAGGTGACAATCAGGCTGGCAGATAGTGTGGCCTACAGCCTTTTACCCTGCAAAGGCAGCACCTCTGCCATGGCTGTATTTGTGTCAAAACTACAAGGTCTTGACTAGGCTATAGTCTTTTTTTTTCTCTCTTCATGAAAAGAGATGAATCCTACTTCTAGGACAGTAGCTTAAGTACCAGAAGTGACATACTGAGAACATATTTAATCAACTCCAGGTCAAAAAGAACTACTCACGTAACTTTTTCAAGCCCAAAGACAGAAAAGAAGCCCTTCTAAGACATCTGAGCCTACTCTGAATTCTATGCTCTTTTAGTGCTGAATTTATTTCATGATATCATAACCTCCAGTTTTGTATGGGAAAGAGCTGCAAAAGGATTAGGGAATGCTTCCAAGTAGGGACAAGGTGCAGTAATTGCAGTATTGTCAATCCCGAGCATTCAAATAATTAAGGGTCAAGCCCTTGTTCTACAGCACGAAATTTAAGACCAGTGAAAGTGTTTTAAAACCCCATTTTCTTTTTAGCTCCTTGACTTTCTCTTTTTCTATCTTTCTGCACATTCATACAGGGGAAAGTTGCCGATTTTCAGGTGAAAGCTGAAGTGTTCATACAACCATGCATCAATGACTTCACGCTTTAAGCAACAAGGAGCTCCACAAGCTCGGCTTCCTACGGCCTCGCCTCCCGCGGCCCCCGAACTCTTTCACAGCAGTAAGCCCGGCGTGGCTCCACGCCTCACACAACCCCTCCAAGGTCCCAAACGAAGCGCGCCTGTCCCGGC